TCATGGGTGGTCACCCTGAGGTTATCTCTGCTTTGCAAGAATTTAACAGCCACATAGAGTTCATTTTAAAACTGTTTTGAAACACTACTGCAAGCCACTATGAATGCAAGTATAGTGTGTTGATACTTCAGTTTGGTTTCCAGTTGAGAAGTGTAAACCCATCTTATTTGTTGACATAGGTCTAAATGTATGTCTTAAATGTTCTTTTTTTTGTTTTGTGTATCAATGAGCAGTCTCAGTTAAGATTATTTTTTTTGACATAGAACTTTTCTCCCTGAGATTTTTAATCTCCAGTTTTGATAGAAGTTTCATTTTTAGTTGTTCTTGACAAGTAAGAATTCTTTTCAGAAAGCATCCTGAGGAAATTCAGCAATATAATTTGAGCTAATGTAATTTGGTTTGCATTACAGTCATGCACACTAAAAATACCATTGACATTAAATATTAATGTAACTTCTTGTACCTTTTGGATTTGAACCTTTTGAAGACGCAAGACTTCTCTAGGTTATCTGTAGACTGTCTTCTGAGGGGCACTCGGACACCATGCTGAAGATTATATTTGCCAACAGGGATAATGGGAAGTGTATTTCAAGTAGTGGAGGAATGGATGCTGGCTGAACTTTGTATTCATTTCATGGTGGAATTTTATCAGTTATGTGGACAATCTTTAGGATGTACTTAGTGTACAGATCTTTGAAAAAGTAATGTTTTACATCTAGATGGAAAATGTACATATAAAACTTCATCGTGAACACAAAATCTTTAATTTCACAAATTGGTTCATAATACACATACTGCAGTTTGTTTGCATATCATGTAGTGCAGTGTTGTGTCTGCGTAACAAATCTAATTTGGTAAGCAGTTTGATCTAGCTTTAGTTGATCTTGGAAAATGTGCTCTCAGTATAAATGTGTCACACATGCTTTGCATGAGTTTTAAGTGTGTGACTGTCATAGTCTGTCTAAAATGATTGTCCATCTGTTGTCTTTCCAACAGAGTGCTATTTTACATGTAAAGAATCACAATATTAAACATTGATTTATTTTTGTAACTGATTTTGAAGAGAGAGATTCCTCACTGCAAAGCCTAAGCTTGTTAAAATTATTTGTGAAAGGACCCAGTGACAGATATCCATTGGGATTTTTCTTTAGTGCTATCAGTTACTTGCTATTCTCTCCAGGAGATGGTTTTTCAAGCTGAGTTGATGGGGGAAAAAGCCTAAATCTAAACTGTCTCTAAAAGGAGCTCCTTCTGAGGATTCTGCTGAAAAACTCAACTGATCTATGAGCTTTTGGTGGACTGTAGAGGAAGGGGCATGGTGATGTCTGAATTAACACCTGAAAGTCTGAACATTGAACTAAACAGATAACTGGCATTTTATGGAGGTTCAATAAATTGGAGTTTGGCTTCTAAGGTGCTTCAGATTCACTTGTGCTTGAAAGTGAAAGCTCAGCATCTTCACAAAACTATGTGCAGACTTAGGTTTTTAAAACCTTCATTCTTCTTATCATATTTAGCCTCAACTTCCTAACAATTGTAATTGTCCACAGAAAACACTTCAAGATAAATTTGTTATCAGGTTTTGAAATTTTCTTATTTTTGTAAATACTAAGACCTGGGGGGCAAATAAGGGCTATATTGTGGATTAAGTGAAATATCTCAAGGCTGTGCTTTTCTGATAACTGAACCTGAAGTGACCTTTCTCAGACACAATTACAGAGCTGTATGTTTTTCCTTTAATTTCATCAGGGGTTTAATTAGTATACAAATAAAACTTCCCTTATCTTCCTTTCTACCTAATTGGCTTGTCTTCGCTTATATATGAAGAATGTGAAAATGGGCTGTAATTAGGGTGACCGTGTTAACCTTTTTTTCTCAAACGTACTGTTGCCTAAAGGCCTCAAGGCCTAAAACCAGTGCTTTGGATTATTGCTTTGCAATCACTATGGCTCTCCCATAGGTTTTCTCATGAGCAGAAGGGCTTTGGGTGCTGCAGGTTCCCACTGCTTAACGGGATCTTCATTCTTCTCCCCACTAAATGTTTATTGATTATCTCACTGCTCCACACTCAGCCTCCAACAACTTAATATCAGGTGACAGTCAGGAGAGTTCTCCAAGTAATTAGAGTGGAGCATTGAGGGAACAATTAGGAGCAGAGTTATTAAACTTGATTTATCCTATTCTCTCCTGAACACTTTCTTGGATATCAGAACATCACACTTTCACAATCTACCCTGGCTGAGAAATTAGTGGCTAACCTGCTGCTTATCATTGTTGCCTTGCTGCCTTGAGGCACACCCTCTTGGTTTCAGTCACTCAGCTGGAAATATTAGAGTCCATAAAGTTTATCAAGGGTTTTAATTAGATCAATCTGAGAAAGGAAAAAAAAGAGAGGCTTAGCAGCCATTACTTTAGAATACTCCACACTGTAGTTGAGCAATTTCCAAGGCTTGACTTTAACCCATGATAGCAAGGAACTTCAAGTGAGTGCAGAAACTGCTTTTAGAGAGCTAAAATAACTTTACATTTTACTTGCATTTTGCAATAATATTCATGGGTAAAGTCTGAATCCTTTGGAGATTCTTGTAAAAAGTTGTGCAAGTGTTGAATATAATAAAGCAGGTGCTCAATGAGATATTTGATTAATCAGTCCTATATTGTTTCCTCACCGGTTAGTGTGGATTGCTCATTGTGCCTCTCAAATAGTTAGGCTTCATGCTTTCATCCCTGTTACTGCCTTATTAATAGGCCTATGCTTGGAATTGGTAAGCAAGATTAGTTAGCAGCTCCCAGAAGCCCACCTAGTGGGTCTCTTCATGATTTGTGGTCAGTGATGAAAGCTTTATGTGGGATCAGACGTCTCCTCAGCCCCTGTAGAAGGGTAGCTATCTGATAAAAATGACATAAATATCCATAATATTCCTATTGTCATGTCTTTTTTCACTCCTTTAGACTGCCAAAATCTTGGACCTAGACTGTTCCATCCACTTCTGCATCAAGAGTTGCAAGAGTAATTGTCTGTTCTACATGAGCCAGAGCTCAGTCCTGTGGCTACTTCTTAAAAACAGTTTTTTCAATCAGGTGGGAAGGTGGGGTGGACAGAATGGCACCAAAGTCGTCGCTTTCTGTTCAATAAATTTTGTCAAAAGATGGGAAAGCGGGTGAGAGGGGACGTGACTCAATTTTCAGAGCTGTTTCCTCAGTGCTGATTTAGCCTAAAAGAAACAAACAGTAAACACAATAAATGGGAGAAGATAATGTTCTCCATAAACTGTAAAGGAAGGTCCTTTTATCCCTGTTAATCCACATCTAGTTTCTTGGAATTGGCTCTTTTGAAAATCTAACAGTTCCTAGAGTCAGCTATTCGGACAGACCTCTGATAGCTGCTGATGGCATTAGGGTAGAATTTCTGAAAGCAACACTTCTAGTTTTGGATATCTTTGTGTTAATAAGGCATTGGAAGAGTGAGATCTGTGTGATTTTTTTTTTTTTTTAGGTGAAAAATAGCATTCTTCATTGAAAATAATGGCGTAGGAGGCAGAATAGAGTTACTCAACCTGCAGTAACTTGAGCAAGACTAATACTAGCATTTCTGGGGTTTAGAGTTTCTTAAATAAACTCCTGATTGTTTTCATTTTTCTTACAGCAGTGATTAATCTCAGCCTGGATTTTGTATATTGCTGAACAGAATTCAGGTAGTGGTGCTGTACCTTCGAAGTGTACACTGTTGAAATAACTAATTGGGTTTTGTCTTGGGAAATATTTGAAGAAAACTTACACCAATCCACAGATTTCATTTTATTTTGCAGGATTATGCAGTTTTTTGCTGTACTTTGTAATTTTATAGAAATTTTCACTAGCATATTGTTTTTTGGAATGTCTTTGACTCTTGGCTAAGTCTGAAGCTATTTCAAATCAGTTGAATTTTCAGTGCCCTCCAGATTTTTATCAGCCTTGTTTTATATACATATCCACGGCATAATACATACTCTTGGTGTTCTACAGTCCAGGTCAAGTACTCCTGAGTACAAATTATGCAGAGAATTCTTAGAACTTAAGCAGAAAACATTTCCATAAATTTTCAAAACAAAATGCAAGAGCTCAGTCTTACAACTGTGCAGCCTTCTCTGTCCTTCTCTATTGACTTAGAATCTGTTAGGGAATTTGTATTTTATAAAATAATGTTTATAGCTACCTATTATAATTTCTTTCTAAAAAGGCAATTAACATCTGTAAGTAAAATGTAACATTTAGCAAACTATGAAATCACATTATTAATACTACAGTCTATAAAAGTATTGATTTATCTGAGCAGAAAGGAGTGGCAACTGGCTAGGTTCTGTATTAATTAGTTCTGTGTGCTATTTGTCATCTATTGGGTTAATCTGAATTGAGTCAAAACGTGTTGTGTTAATTCTAAACTGGAGAGAAACATTAAAAAATACATGTATTATTTTGCATGTTGGAAAACCAATGTTAAAAGTAGTGAAAGCGCCATAAAATAGTGATTTATTCTTAGTAAGATTTGCAGCAGCACTGCACTTAATGCACTGAGAATATTAGATTTTTTCCTTAAATGTGACATTTCTGAATAGTGCAGAATATGTAAGTAAACAGTACTTTGTTTATTTCCTTTCTTTCTTTGTTAATTCTTTTCTTTGAGTATATTCTATTCTATTCAATTCAATGCTGTACTCTTATTTCCACTGTCTTTAGGCCTAGTATTTGTAAATATACTACCTGTAGCGTACAGTATATATATCTGTTTGATCAACAAATCACTTTATTTTATAAAATGTATTTGTACATAGGCAATATACTAAAAACTGGGGGTTCTATGTTAGTGGTGTTTCTGCTGGAGAATTCGTAAAACCTTGGCATGTAATGGTCCAAACCTGCTTCACAGTCAGTCTGTTTTCCACTTTGTTTAATAGCCTGTGGCATAAATTGAAGTTAATTATTTGGGCTGACAAGTAACTCTGCTTTCTGTCTGCTTGCAGAGACTCTGTGAGGCAAAGACAGAGCTGAGAAGAAAAGATCAATCTCTGCGCCAGCTCAATAGACTTCTTACCCAGCTGGAGCAGGACAAGTGTCGGCTGAAAGAGAGCATCCATGATGCAGAGAGTGCCCTCTGCATGGCAGCGAAGTGAGCACTGGGACCTTGGGGAGATCACTTAAAACGGACAAAAGATCAATTCTTACTTTCATGCACAGGGTTTTAGCCCCGGCTAATGTAATGCTAGAAAACAAAAGTACATCTGTCTCTCTTTGAAATTCAGTGATAATCTTCTAAAAAGAAAACTTAGTTCAAGATACTAGATGATATGTTTTCTGTAGTTATCCCGTAACAGTGCTCCAAATTCCGGGTCCTGAAATAGCATGGACATTATTGTTTGCCAATTATCTTACTGATTTGACATCATCTCTTTGACAGATCCCTAATGCTCTGTTTAGTTAAGAAATGTTTGCTTGTTGTCTTTATTTCCATGTCATCTTTTTATAGAGAGGTGTGATTGTTTGTAATAGATTGTTTACAATAAATACAGAGACATCAGCTAGATACAGGTCTTAGCTACCAAAGGGGACCTAGTCTCATCTGTGGAACAGGATAGGTCCTAAGCAGTATTCAGCGAGTTTTGGATTTAGATAAAACCCATGGCTTTTGTAGCATATCCTGGAGACTGGAAGGAAATGTTTAGGGACTTGAACTTGATTTGTAGTCAAAAGGTGTTCCATTGACTTAACTGAGATTATGACTTCCTACAGTCATACAGTCAGATAAAAAGATAAATCTTTGCAGACTGTTATCTCTTACTCTTGTTGTACTATGTACTTTGAATATTGTTGGTCCAAGTTTTAAAAACAGTTCAATTTAATATTACATTTTCTCATTAGGCTCGGGATACATTTGACCTCTGAAGAACAATTGGTTAGAAGCTTTAAAGGATTTGATGCACAAGTGAAATAATGTAATTAATATAGTTATCAGTGAAATGCTTAACAAGCTAATTAAAACGACAATAGACTTTTGTCAAGAAAGCCTTATTTTAAAACCTCTTCTGTAACCTGAGTGATTGTAAGCAATGCATGGGTGTCCTTTCAAGTTATTTCCTAAACTTTTGTACAGCTTTAAAGGATAGCAAGATGGCTCATTATGAGAATAGCGATCATGATTTTCTTGCAGTGTTGGCCAACAGTTCTTTTCTACTTTCCTTCAGAATAGGAGGCACTATTAATAAAAATGGCTGATAGCATTGAATTTGACAGAAATTTTGTGGTGTTTTGGTCATTACTCGGCTAGATGGAAACTCCCTATCAAACATTCACCTTAGCTATTGTGTAAAAGATGGTGTAAAGCATGTTCCTCATGCCTCAAATGCATTTCTGAGTAGTAATCCTAAACAATAGTTATGTGATCCAGTTCCAGTTTCCCTTACACAACTAGGATTTGATGAATATATGAAATAAAGATTGAATGCACTGTGGATCCTGGCATGTAGGGGTGCAAAAGATAATTTTTTTAACCTTTTTCCCATGTGCTATAAACAAATGCTACCAGCCTTTTATTTTAAGATGTTACGTAAGATAAGTCAGGTGCAGTGAGAGCACTTTCTGTTGACAAAGATAAGAACCTGAGTCCAAAATGCCAGCTGAAGATAATTTCTTTTTTATGATGAACACCTGAGAATATATGGAGAACAGACTGACTTCTATGTTAGTAACTAACTTAGAAATTAATGGTGTTAGGCTAGCTCTCTAGAACAGACTTCACCCAGAAAAACAGCAGTCCCTGAGGCCAGCAGAGAAGGTGAACGTGTCCTGGTCAATCTAGTCCAAAGAAAGGGAGGTTTCTGAAAAGAGAAAAATCTATGTGACAGTTTTACTAGGAGTGTAAAAGCCAATCTTGCTTTTCTGGCAATCTTCCTGTATTTGCTGTTAAGATAATATGAATAAAGAAAGAAGGAAGCAGTAGTCATTCCAGGCAGAAGAAAGCCATGGTTTTGTCTTCTCTTTTTGGAACTGTTAAGAACTCCAAAAAAAGAAAAAAAGCACATACCTGGCAAGGTAAAAGACTGTCCTGGAATATTAAGGTATATCAGCTTTTCTGACATAGATTCCATTTAATTTCTTACAGTGTTTTGATGGTCATGCTTTTCTGTTTTCCTTAGTCATGTGCTGTTACGCAACTTTTAATTCAATTTCTGTCAGTGCATCAGATGAGACCAGAGGTTTTTTTGCCAGCATAACTGATCAAAGCTCTCTTTCTTAGTGAAGCCCTAATCTACGAAAGTGTATGAAAGTAGTGTTTCATTCTCTGAACTTCCATTTGGTCAGGGATGGGATCCTTGACTGGACTTTTTTTGGAGAAGGACCAGTGAAATGTTCATGTTTAGAGAAGACAGGAAGACTTACATGTGTATAAGTACATAGGTCCATGTAATTGACAAAAAACGAAGAATTTTTCAGTGGTTTCCAGTCTGAGGGTGTAATCGATTCCTGCTAGAGCCTGGACTCCATTCAATATACCCTTTTTAGCCAAGACTGCAAATTTCTTCTCCAAGAACATAATGATAATTATTCATTGATACACCTTTAAATACAGCTGGTTTAACTACTTATCCACAACAGAAACATCTTACATATGGAAACGTACCAAGTAGTGGTCCATAAACTAATTTTTAGAGTTTACATTGAAAATATAAAAAGGATACAAATATAACAGGTTTGGGCTATCAACAATTTTAAAGACAGTTTGGTTATAAACTAGCAAAAAATGAACTTTACATCAGTCGAGCTTCAGTTCTATTAACTACTTTTTTTTTTTTTCTCTTGTAATAGAGACAAAGAATTTATTGTTAGTAATATGAAATCTGTGGAAGCCACTTTTCATAAGGTAAGAATTTGAAGTGTCCCCTCTGCATTTGTATTTCCAAACACATGAAAAGTTTTACAACTGCTTAATTCTCAGTGGAGGGGACTATAAGTTGATAAGTTGCTCTAAAGCAACTTCCTTTCCTTGGAGTTTAAGTTTCCACCTTCAAATTCTTCATCTCCAAAACTGTTCATATTTAGTGAAATAGAATGCAATTTTGTAGTACATAGATCTCTTATTTTAATATAATACCTACTACAAAATTCAGCTTCTTTCCTTCAGCACTATTTCAGGTTGCCAAGTGAAAACTTATGTCATGAAAGCAATTTGCATTTGTTGCTGAGTTAACTCTCTGCATTTGTTGCTGAGTTAACTCTCTGCTGAGTAAGGCAGAGGTCATCTGGTGAGGTCACAGACATGGTGGCCATAAGACATTTAGCTTTTTGCATGCTACTTTAATATTTGATATATGATAAATAAAATTGGGCAAAGACAGCAAGTACCAACCTGTAACCAATAACTTTCTCCACAGTTTTTAAAAACCTTTTTAAAATTGAGTGATAATCTTAAGTTGTCTCTTCTACTATTTTGCCCTGGTATAGTATTCTTTAAACATCCAACAGAGCTGTATATATTAATTATTTGGGAGAAAGGGCTGTAGCTCTAGTGGTTGATTGGTTTATAACTGATTTCAGTCCACAGCAACACAGAGCAAAAGAAGTGTTTTTATTACCTTGGAGTGTTCATTTCCCTTATCACATCTTGAATTCCCTGCAACATGGGAATCTAATCCTTATTTTAGTTTCTGTGTCCACCAAAACTGCTGTTAATTTAATTTTAAGATACTTTTTGAAGTTTCTCTTTCCTTTAACGTTCACAAAAAGTGACAGTACCTAAACTCTGTATTTTACCTGCAGCAAACTGTGCTGATAGGTACTGTCTTCCCTTATGTCCCCTTCTTCATACTGGCTTTGTGTAAGCTTGGGAAATCTATGTAATGCGGAAAGTCCTGTGTTTTCTCGGTAACATGTATGTGTAATGTCCTTGGCTTTGAAAATTTGTTGGTTTGGATTGCAAGTTTACATTCTGATTAAGAAAGCAGTGCTGTATATGCACAAAGATTGAAATTTTTTTGGAAATTCTTTGAAAATTCTGCTTACCACATCTGCCTTTTGGTTTTTGATGTACACAGTTGTTAGGCCCAAATAGCTTGTTACTGAGTAGTGGAGTAATTTATCCTTTCTGGTTTGTCATCCTAAAGAATAAGGAAATATAAGAATTAGCAGTGTCAGGATGC